TGACATCGCGGTTTTAGCGCCGCGGTTTTGTCGGCGCGCTTTTGTCATGCGCGCATTTGTCGGGTCACGATATTCCACAGAAGATTTCAGTAGGCTGCCACTTATTTTGAATTTTCATTTTGTTCTGGTTGTACACCAACAACTCAAAATTGAGAATTAGGTTTTATTATAATATGCAAGCTTTATGGCTCTTCTGTTTAGGTGGCAGGATGTTACGTCTGATGCAGGTGAAAATGGAAGATGCGGGTCATTATATCTGTGTAGTAACTAACATTGCAGGAGAAGTCCGGAAAAACTTTGAACTTTCAGTTTTAGGTGAGTATATCAAACCTATCTAAAAAAAAAAGCTGAAGTGTTGGATTCCCCCCCCCCCTAGTTTATAGACCCTATGTTTAGAAATTGAAGAGACGACTGAAAATAATAATATAGGCAATGAGTAGCTTTCTTAATTGGATAATATAAGTTGGCAGTTGTTCCAGTGTAAAACAGAAGGATGCTTTATGTTCCTTGGAAAATGATAGTATCAAAAACAGGAGAATGTAGTTATGTGTTTTCCTTCCTTCCTCCCAGCAAATTCTTCAAATTTTAATAACTATTCTTTTTTTAAAAAAACACCTAGTACCCCCACGCAATCTTATTTGATAATATAATGGACATGATATTGTAAATCCACTACATTTTATACCATCCAGCCTGGAAAATAGTAAAATTTAATTCCATAGAAGCCACCATGTTATTCTTGCAGGAAAATAAAAGAAAAAGAAATATCTTGCAGGATCTTAGATCCACTAAGAATATATAAGTGTCTTGGTTTAAATAGTTACTTTTGTGACTTTTTCAAAAGAAGAAGCAATACTGTTCATTCCAGGAACCAAGACAACAAGGTAAAGCATATGTAAATTATGCTCCTTTGTTTCATCTGAAACTATCTATAAAGTCTCATCTGACTTCAGCCTTAATATTTTAAATGGATGTGCTCCAGGTTTCACATACTTTTATGACAATTCATGACATTCTCACATGCCTACCACAACACAGCATCCATACAAATATATATTGAAGACATGGCTCCTGAAAATGGAAAAAGATATTTTAGGATGATGGATGCAAATAAATATACAACCCTTTTGTATCCCTGTATTCTTACACAATTCTTTTCTTTGTTTTGACAATGTAAAAGTGCCTCCAAGCATTGTAGGAGAAAATAAACTGGAAGATATAAAAGTTAAAGAAGGACATAGTATTATGCTGACATGTGAAGTCACAGGTAAGCTTCTGGCGATTCTTCGTTAGAGCTGATTTGGCTGCAGCATTAAGCTGATTGATGGCTATGATATTAAGCAAGTAAATATTCATATTCATTCATGCCAGGGGTGGGTTCCTGCCATTTCTAACCTCTTCTATAGAAGAGGTT